GCATGAAACTTCCTTTAAATCCCAAAATGTTTTTTTCTTTTTCTACAAAAAAAACAAAAAACTATTTAAATCGTTGTTGTATTAATAGTGTGTGTTCCTGCAGTAGCTCCAGGCTATACTGTTCCTTTCATAGAGTAAAGCAACGATTTACTAAATACTAAACGCAATTAGCAAAATTGTTTCAGGAAAACGATGATGACTGAACCAGGGCAAATGTAATCCTTCAGCAGAACAAAAAAACATTTATTTGACATTTACACCACAAAAAATGGGGAATCGCATTCACCGGTGCTTAATAATGCAGTCTGGTGGTCACAGCCATGACTAAGATCTAAAGGAGTACTTAATTAGACCTTTCTTGGCTATTAGATGGCATTGGACTATTTAGTGCTGACATAGAATATTCCTTGGCGCAAATCTTACTAGTTTTTCTCGCATTTCTTGTTTTATCAACTTGTAGTCTCTTGTGAGTTTGAAATATATTTTTATTACTTTTCTCTTGGAATCTTTGATGTTCTTGTTCCTCAAAGTTTCTCCAATGCCTTTTTACATTATTTAGTTTTTTTGTTTTTTTTTTAGGGTTGACATTATTACAGGGTATTACCTATATTTAACCATCCTGTTCAAAAGTTTCTTGATCTATTTGTGTAGTCTTTAGACTTTATCTGAAGAATCAAAATAACAAAAGATATTTCTAATGTGTGCATTATTCCCCATATATATATATTTTTTTGTAGTCCAACCTGATGCTACAAAAAAAAGCAATTAAACTTCCAACAACTCCAAAAAAAGGAAAATGTAATACAAATGAAAGACAGCAGTGGATTTTTACTTTTATTTATTTCTACAGTAAAAGTATAAATATAGAGCCGGGCCACTTGAGCAACCCAGACAATGGGGGGGGGGGGGGGGAAGATATGCATTGTGACTTAGAGCTGCATTCTTCAAGCATGCTTAGCAAAAGTAAGAGGAAAATATTTTGGAAAAACATATTGTATTATGAGTTTGATGTACAATGACTAATGCTGGATAATTATGAATGTTATACAGAGTAAATAAGTAAGTATGGAGATCAGAAGGAACCAGCAAAATATATATCACTGTTAGTTTACATGACATCCCAAATGGAAAAGAAAATGTGTTACAATGAAGCATAAGGCACATAATTGGAAATGTTCCTTATGTACAGAATATCAGTAGTAATAATATATATCATGCACTAATATGCACTATTTAGTCTGATACAGTTCATGCTTCATGAGTCATGAGGTAAGGCACTTGATGGCAAGACAGCATCACACTCCACTGTCATGAACCGCTTAGTAATTGCCCTTTCACTGGGACAACACTAATGCGTACTCTCCACTTTCGAAGACGTATAGTCAGTGACACAATACGTATGGATTTAGGCACGTAACAGTTACAAGATTTCGACCCAAATGAAATAAACAATAAAGAACAAAAGGACTCCTGCTAAGCACATTTCAAGAATACGCCTCTTTTGACTCCACAGAAGAGGCTCTTTACGACACTTGAGTTGACAGAAGTTTCCTTAGCTGTCTTGTAGTTAAATGGTGATGTGGTCTATGATTCTGATGAGCTTAGCAATCTTAAAGTCCAATGATAATCATAATTATGAAACTCTTGGTGAAATGTTTACTATAATATTTTAAAAAAAATGCATTCTAAATTTCAGTACTTTTGCAAAAGAAACCAAAAAAACGAAAAACTAAAAAACATACTGTTAACACAAGGTATGAAACAACAAAACCCGATAAACACCGTACAATAAAAATTGAGACTCATCAGTTTGCAACAGCTGGAGATAGTATATAAGTTCCGAATTACTGCTATAAATTCCCTTCATCAGAATTCTTACAGTCAAGCTGATGTCACTGGCAAGGTCAGAGGTTTAGTATTATACAGCAAAAGTATAATGTGGCACCATTTTGTACATGTTAGTTGCAGTTTGAATTTTTTTTTTATTTCACATAATATTATCAACAAAAGTCCATAACCTCTGAATAAGACAGATGGTGATATTCCTGTGCATGAGGACAGAACGCCTAATCAGTGAATAAGAACGTCAATATGACTTAAGAGTAGGTTAAATTCGCTACAGATCTGTTAGGAATATTTATCTTTATATGATTTTTTTTTTTCCTGCAATGACTCTGGAATGATGAAAAAATAACTTTTGTCAATTAAAAATGCCTTCTAATCAGTAGCTGGATCACATCATTTGCCTCTTAAAACAATGATGATTTTACACTACCCAAATGGAATAATATAAAGGAATGTTACAGTCAGTGGATAAATGAGCTATTTAATTTCTTCTCAAGTGAGAACGTGTGCACTTCAGGTATATCCAAAGACCCGGAATAAAAAAAAAAAAAATGTTCAAGATAACACCGTCGTCCTTGTCTTAAGGAGAGGAGTTGAATACAATGAAAGCAGGGAAACCAGTTGACTTTTAAATAGGTATCTAAATATCATCTATAAGAATGTACATAAATGCATCCCTTACTTTACATGGAATCTTTTGTGCATTGGAAGCTGAATGTATTTACTGCCTGAGTAACATCCACAGAAACAAGTGACAGCAAAGACAGATTGAACTTGTAAAATAATATTTACATCTGTGGAAAGGCATTGTAGTGAGAAGTGCCTTGAGTGATTTTCAAGGTCATAGAAGTTAAAACAACATCCCTAAAATTTCTTGAGACAAGAAACAAATCACAGAATATAAATTGAAGAAAAAAAAAGAAAAGAAAAAAAAAATCCTACCATTTTTTTTCTTGTTAAACCAATTATAAAAAACTAAATGACCAAATAAAAAAGACATAGTAGTTGTTTTCATTTATCATATAACATGAAGTAGTTGGCCCATCAGATTCTTATGAACAAGTGATCAAGAAATTCTCCATTATCTGAATAAAAAATCTGCATATTCTGCTGAAATCGCTATTGTCCTTTTCTATACACATATCCTACAAACTGAATTATGGTAGAGATCATTGTTTCCACTTTCTCAGAAAAGCATACAAGGTGTACATGAAGTACAGTTCATACATACAACTAGGAAATCATAAAAAATTATAATAATAATAATAATAAATAAATACCCATGTGAAAAGATGAAAATGCAATTTCATTCCATGAGAACCCAAGGTGATCTAAAGACACAGTAATATTTTCACAAGATAAAGTACTCCCATTATACCATTACTACCCCGAGATACTTCTTTCCCACTGTCGAGAAAAGACAGTAAAAATATCTCCATCACTGAGTAATAAATAAATTATATACTAACTGGTTGCTTCTCCACATTCACAGACCACATATAACCAGTAGCACTGACTAAAGCTCCCTGTTCATGTAAAAAGATCTATAAACACTCTTACTAAAACAGCAATTTTTTTTCTTTTTTTAAATCCATTCCTCAAAACAAGACTGCTTACACTTCTGTGGTAACATTTTTATAGTGGTCAGTACTACGTGAGAAAGTGAGGGTTTTCTTTCAAGCACAAGTCATCACATCTTTACTTATTTTGTGACAGCCATTAGATTGACTTCCATTTCATCTTTCATTGTAGATGCTTCTCCATGTGATATGTGTTCATATATGTATAATATATATGTAAAATTGAGTGAGTGTGAGTGTGAGTGTGAGTGTGCATGTGTGTGTGCGTGAGTGTGCGTGTGCGTGCGTGTGTATGTGAAGTCCATCTACTGCTTAAACACAGAATAATAACCAACATATATACTGAATTCTATCAAAACTGAAATCTCTCCTCCGAAGACATTTCTTCTTTGTAAAGTGTCCGTTTTCTTATAAAGAAAACTATGTTTAATCTTTGTGTATATTTTCTCTGTGTATATGTAGACTTACAGGACTTTATACATGGGAAGGAGCAAACACAAGAATTTAACATGACTTTCTAAAAGAAGAAAAACAAAGAAGTGGGAGAAGGAAGAAAAGGAAATAAGAAATAAGAAGAGGAATAGGAATTAAGAAAAACAAAAAGGAACAGGTATAAGCATAAAAGCAAAAGGAAAGAATAAGAATAAGAAAAGATAAAGGGAGAGGAGGAGGAGGAGGATCAAAATTCTACTCTTGAAGACCAAAAAAAAAAAAAAAAAAAAAGAAAAAAAAAAAAAAAAAAAAAAATGAAAGGGACTCTTAACAGCATCTTGTACAAAGGCACTGAATTATATTAACCATAAATACTCTTAGGTGATAAATGAACAAAATAATTAATTAGTTACAAACAACAAGACAACCAGCCAGCAATGACTAAACACCAACTAATGAGTGATTATTGTGAATGTGAATACAACAAATGCAGAAAGCTGGATTATACTACACTAATTAAATGCTACTGCTGAAGCCTAAGACATTTTGACAGTGAGAGAAATGCTTCTCATTGAACCAATGTATCACTCAAAATGTCAACAGTCTGTCTTTCTTATTTGCTTTCTTCATACTGTTCAGATATTCACCACCACTTACCATGTACATGCATATAAATAAAGAATGATAAAAACACTCACAACTGTAAGATAAATAAGTAGGACCTAAACCACCTGACTTACTTACAATAATTGGCAATAACCTCAGGTAAATGTATGGGTCTGAAGAGAGCTTGGGGTGCTTTGTCTAACTCTACTGCGTGCATCTACAAGAGAGACACTCCTCCTACCTTCAACCCAGCAACATCTTAGCATAATATGCAACTTCTGTTTGAATAAATTACCGTTTAAGCTGACTAATGTCAGAGACTGTCATTGGTTTTGGATACATATCATATTTCTTTATGTTCTAGTAAGTCAATTGTGGTGCACATACTGTCTGCAGTGTGACATGACAGTGCCGCAATACATTTTATCACTCAGCATTACAATGCATCAACCATATGCAAATATCTAATGTTAGCACTTCTGCAATCACTGTGCGCCCACAAAGTTGTAGAATCTAATGTGTAAACAGATTTACGAC